GGAGCGGGAGAAGGTATCCGTCCTCGTTTCCTGCCTCTGTGGGAAAGCCCTGGAGTGGGCCAACGCGGTGTGAAACTAAGGAGGAGCCGCGTTGGAGGACTACAGGGAGTTCGCTCGCCTCTTTCGGCGGTCTTTGATCACCCGGCCGAGGATAGAGGGGCAACCTGCTGGCAGCCTCTCTTGGACAACCTGCTGGCAGCCAGAGGACGTCCTGGTTTCCACCCCGGACAACTCGGATCCCGAGCCGATGGCGCTGGGTGGAGCCGCCGGCCGAGAGAGCGGAGGAGGACAGCGACAGTGCCACTCTGGTGGCACAAAGGGACAATACACTACACGTCATAGTCAACTTTTCTTTGGGCCGGGAGGTGGCAGGCAGGGCACTCATGCATCACCCCAGGTATTGAACACCCACACTTGTTCAGAGCCCTCTGCTACCCTACCTATCGACTTTCCCGATCTCATGGCAGTTCCCCAGTGTAAGGCGTTAGTCGATTCAGGCGCAGCTGGGAACTTTATGGACAGGGCATTCGCACGCCGTCAAGGAATAACATTGGTTCCCCTATCCATTCCACTCAGAGCACTCGATAATCGACCAATAGGGTCCGGGTTTGTTACAGAAGTCACGATACCAGTCACCATGATCACCCAGGACTCATTGTGAGCAGGTAATTTTTTCGATTATTGAATCTCCTGCTTTCCCTGTGGTATTAGGTATCTCTTGGCTAGCACTCCACAACCCCACCTTCTCATGGCCGCAGAGGGCTCTCACGGGGTGGTCGCGAGAGTGTCAGGGTAGGTGTCTAGATGTTTCCGTTGGTGCAACCACGGTAGAAAGTCCAGACAGTACCTCCACCGTGCGCATTCCCCCTGAATACCTCAATCTGGCACAAGCGTTCTCTAAAACGCAGGTGACTAAATTACCACCTCATCGGGCGGGGGATTGCGCGATAAACCTCCGGGTAGACGCTGTACCTCCCAGGAGTCATATATACCCCCTGTCACAGGCTGAAACGGTGGCTATGGAAACCTATGTCACCGAGTCCCTGCGCCAGGGGTACATACGTCCCTCCACTTCACTCGCCTCCTCAAGTTTCTTCTTTGTGAAGAAGGAGGACGGAGGTCTGCGCCCGTGCATTGATTATCGACCACTGAACAGGGAGACGATAAGATTTAGTTATCCTCTCCCCCTCATTCCTTCGGTGATTGAATCAATGCATGGGGCGCACTTCTTCACCAAATTAGATCTCAGGAGTGCGTACAACCTGGTGCGTATCCGAGAGGGAGATGAGTGGAAAACAGCATTCAGCACAACCACAGGGCATTATGAATACCTGGTGATGCCCTATGGTTTGATGAATGCTCCCTCAGTTTTCCAGTCCTTTGTGAACGAGGTGTTTTCGGGACATGCTTGGTCGCGGTGTAGTGGTCTACATCGATGACATCCTGGTGTATTCCGCTACGCGCGCCGAGCATGTGTCCCTGGTTCGCAAGGTGCTGGGCCGACTGTTGGAAAATGACTTTTATGCTAAGGCAGAGAAGTGTATGTTTTTCCAGCAGTCCGTCTCCTTCCTTGGATACCGCATTTTCACCTCAGGTGTGGAGATTGAGGGAGATCACACTTCAGCCGTGCGTAATTGGCCGACTCCAACCACGGTTAAGGAGATGCAGCGCTTCCTTGGCTTTGCCAACTACTATCGGAGGTTTATCCGGGGCTTTGGCAAGGTCGAAGCTCCCATTACCTCCCTGTTGAGGGGTGGGCCGTCCCGGCTCCGCTGGTCTGCTGAGGCTGACCTGGCCTTCAGCAAACTGCGGGGTCTGTTTACCTCAGCCCCAGTACTGGCCCACCCCGATTCATCACTACCGTTCGTAGTGGAGGTGGATGCGTCCGAGGTTGAGATAGGATCAGTCCTGTCTCAACGCTCGGGTATGCCACCCAAGCTCCGCCCCTGTGCCTTCTTCTCTAAGAAGCTCAGCCCGGCGGAGCAGAACTACGACGTTGGTGATCGGGAGCTGTTGGCTGTTATCCGAGCCTTGACCGTGTGGAGGCATTGGCTCGAAGGGGCGAAACACCCTTTCCTCGTCTGGACGGACCACTGTAACCTGGAGTACATCCGGGCAGCGAGGAGGCTGAATCCTCGCCAGGCAAGGTGGGCCCTATTCTTCACCCGGTTTGATTTTACACTGTCATACATTCCGGGTACGAAGAACGTGAAGGCAGACGCACTGTCCCGGCTGTATGACACAGAGGAGAGGCCCAGAGACAACACCCCCATACTCCCGGCCTCCTGCATTGTGGCACCGGTAGTATGGGCGATGGACGCGGATATAGAGCAGGCATTACGCACAGATCCATCTCCACCGCAGTGTCCAGCTGGGCTGCGGTACGTGCCTGCTCTTATCCGTGATCGTCTGATCTTCTGGGCACACACGTCACCCTCCTCTGGTCACCCAGGTATCGGCCGTACAGTGCGCTGCTTGACCGGAAAGTACTGGTGGCCTACCTTGGCTAAGGACGTGAGGGTGTACGTCTCCTCCTGCTCAGTGTGCGCCCAGAGTAAGGCACCTAGGCACCTCCCAACGGGTAAGCTACAACCATTACCAGTTCCACAACGACCATTGTCTCATCTTAGTATTGATTTTCTGACTGATCTTCCCCTCTCCCAAGGTAACACCACCATCCTGGTCGTTGTGGACCGCTTCTCCAAGTCCTGCCGCCTCCTTCCTCTTCCCGGTCTCCCCACGGCCCTGCAGACTGTGGAGGCCCTGTTTACTCACATCTTCCGGCACTACGGGGTGCCAGAGGATATCGTGTCCGACCGAGGTCCCCAGTTCACGTCCAAGGTTTGGAAGGCTTTCATGGAACATCTGGGCACCAGAGCCAGACCGAGGCTCCTGCGGTGGATGACTGGTTTCGGCACACAGAGAAGACGTGGGACGCTGCCCACGTTCACCTCCAGCGCGCCGTGCATCGTCAGAAGGCCAACGCTGACCGTCACCGCAGTGAGGCCCCGGTCTTCGTACCGGGGGATCGGGTCTGGCTCTCGACCCGGAATCTGCCCCTCCGCCTGCCCTGCCGGAAGCTGAGCCCGCGGTTTGTGGGGCCGTTCAAAGTCCTGAGGAGAATCAACGAGGTTACGTATACGTTGTTACTTCCCCCTGATTACCGTATTAACCACTCGTTTCATGTGTCTCTCCTCAGGCCGGTGGTGGTTGGTCCGCTCCAGGAGTCTGAGGTGCGGGAGGTTCCTCCACCTCCTCTGGACATCGAGGGGGCCCCAGCGTACTCTGTCCGTGCCATCCTGGATTCAAGGCGTCGGGTGGGGGGCCTTCAGTACCTTGTGGAGTGGGAAGGGTACGGTCCGGAGGAACGGTGCTGGGTCCCGGTGAGGGATATCCTCGATCCCTCCCTGTTGCGGGATTTCCACCGTCGCCATCCGGCTCGCCCTGCTCCAAGTCCTCCTGGCCGTCCTCGAGGCCGGGGTCGGCGCGCTGCTGGAGCTGCGCGTCGGGGGTACTGTCACGACTTCGGCCGAGGCTGCCTCCCCTCCTTGTTCGGGCAGGCTTCGGCGTTCGTCGTCACCGGAGTACTAACCACTGCCGCCCCAATCATCATCACAATTGTCTTGTCTCGTTATCACACACACCTGGTTCTAATCCCCTAATTAGTCTGTGTATAAGGCCCCTTAGTTCCAGTGAAGGGAAATCTTAATGGCCCTCTGCCCCCTTGTCCTTGTGGGTGATTGTTTATTGTGAAGGTTAGTGAAGCTCGGTGGAGCTCGTGTATTTTGTTAGACGGGAGTATTTTCCTGTGTGCCTTGTATTTTCCAGTGCACCTGTTTTGTGCCCTGGAGTGTGTTTGACGCATTTCTGCGTAACCCTGTATTTTTGCGGATTAAAGCCTGTTATTCTGTGATTTACCCTCCTGCGCCTGACTCCTTCAACACCACCTTATCACAAACAGTTCCATTTCACGCCATGCTGTTCATATAAATAGTTCTCGACACAAACCATACACCTACCATACAAAGGTACTTAAATATTTTGTCTTGCCCATTTACCCTCTGAATGGCACACCTACACAATCATTGTCTCAAGGCTTAAAAATCATTCTATAACCTGTCTCCTCCCCTTCATCTACACTGATTGAAGTCGATTTAACAACATCAATAAGGGAAAATAGCTTTCACCTGGATTCACCTATGTCATGGAAAGAGCAGGTGTTCTTAATAGTTGTGTACTCAGATTACTTTAGTCTAAGACTGCCACCATTGAAGTCGTTTGTGGTGATGAGGGGCACGAAGTTGCACAAAACAAAGTCATCAGCGATTGGATCGTCTCTAATCAATCAGAGTAAAAGCCAATGACAAATGTTCAAACCACCGCTTTACCCATGTGTGTTCTGGCCCAACACATCGGTTTCGGACCAATCAGACGGCCCCGAATGTGTTCGCATTCGGTGAAGGGTCGGGGAGGTACTCAGATCATGACTCATTGCAGAGAAGAAACGAACGTCCGTAGGCGTGGCGTAGCGTTTGGAGCAAGGAGTCTGGGTAGCCAAGCAAGAGGTTTGGACCATTGGTTTTCTTAGAGGATTATCTACAAAAATAACATTATTTTACTAATTGGTCAAAATATGGGTTTTTGATTGGACACCCTATATAAACCCTCAACAGAAGGGCGGGTAGGGCTAACCACAGTTAACATAGGCCATTGAGCTGATTAACGCTGTACATAGATTATATTTCATGTTGACCTAAATTGGTTTATGCTGCAGGTGACACTCTTGTTATGGTGGAAAAGTGTGGATTTAACCAGTAAATCTAATTGAACAAATGACCTTTAGCACACAGATGGCACTGCTTGCCCCCAATGGAACTGGTCTGTCACTGAGCAATCAGATAATGAAATCATAAACATCAGATTGATGATAGGCTGGGTATTCCCATTGACATTATGAATGTTATCAGGGGACAGGCCAACACCCACAGACAGGTACTACTTACGTCAGTCTCCAGTATGTTGTACATGCTGATCTCGGCCACCTCTTTAGATTCGTGGAACTTCTCCAGGGCCTGTCTCAGCTCCTCATCTGGTATCTTCCCTTGGCGCTTCTTCTTATAGTCGTAGTCCAGACGCCTTCCCTCCAGCTTCTTTAGATGGTGCTGGGGGATGGCAGGAGAGGAGGAGGGGGGAGAAGAGATGGGGGAGAAGAGATGGGTGGATGAGGGATGTAAATCACATTCAGTTCAAACTAGAGAGATGACAAAGAGGTTGGTTTTCAGCAGCGGATATATACGTTTGTAATGTGATACAGTACCTGTATCTCTCGGAGGTCCTTGTCACACAGATTTTGTAATGGATCGATGAAGTTCTGTTTGACGTCGATGTCTAGAGAGTCCTTAACCTCCGCCAGCCTCTTCATGGTCTCCCCCGCATCTACTAGAGCCCCACCTGACACAGTAAGAGCAGACGCTGAATCACATCAATAGATTCAATTCACCACTCCACAAAACAGATGCCATCTATGCACTGGCAGGCATACACACTCACAGACAGAAAGGCAGACGGACACAACGTACCGAAGTTGGTTTCCTCCCCTAGGTCCCGGCCGTACTTGACCATACACTCTCCCAGCAGGCCCTCAGCTTGGGGATAGCCTGGGTTCTTCACCTGGCCTCTGATCTTAGACACAGTGTTCAACATAGACAGCTTCGCCCGCGATGCTGAGAAAGGGACAGAGAAAGGGAGACAGTGAGAGGGAGGGATGGAGCGGTGGCAGTTATAGGACTTGTGTTCAAGCTACTGTATATCTGTGATATAGTATAAAAGGCATTTTCCACCACCAATTACACATCTAATATTAATTTTAATTGAAAGTCTAATTAAGACACTAAGTCTCTTTCTGGTTCATTGCCTTACCTGGGTTAGGCTGCAGGTACTCTGATGTTTTAGATATGACCTCCACCACAGCTTTGCTGGTCACATCTACTTTCTACAAAACACAGGGGAGGGGACGTCACTAACAATCACAAGGAAATATGAAACACAATGTCGTTCCTTTAATATTTTCCAAATCCTTTATTTGCGATGAGACTAGTTTCCAAATAGGCAATGAAAAAGTTAATGAAATATTGTCACTTCGCTAATTGTACTGTTAAATGAAACTGACTTTGTGAAACAACCAATCAACAACCAATGTTCATTCAGCGGAGGTCTGTACAGTAGACCACTACAGTGAAGGCCTTTTCTGTTGATTGCTGGAGTTCTCCATGACAGTTGGCTGGAGCAGAAAAGGCAGGTGTGCTGCCAGTCTGCCACTCTATGGATCTATTCACAGGGCTCCCCTATGAATACTATACTGACATACTGTACCCAGCATGCAAACTGAGACTGCTCACTAACAGCTGACTCTTCACTTCAGTCGACAGCTATGCATGATGCAACACTCCCTTCTAGTGCATGGTAGTCTAGACTTTATGGCCATATGCAAGTAAGGTATTGTGAACGTGGCTGTATTATTAACACCATCACTACTGTATTATGTAACACTGTAGGGCATATCTATTCATGCACTGTGTTGTTGGGCTATGTGTGTCTGGTTGTGTTAACTTATTAGCCTTTTCCCTGATGCCATTCTGTAAACCTGTAAATATATTTGCCGAATGGATAGGCCTAATATATAGAATTCTAACGTATTTCATGTAGAGTCAAAGAGGCATTATACCCTTTCCAAATCTTTGAAGTCTTCATCCAGTTTCGTTCCCTCTGCACCGCCAACCTTCTCACTGACCATCTGCACAGAGAGTGGGAGAGAAAAGGGTCATTATTACACAATACATGTGCTGTTCTTGAGAGTGTATCAGAAAGATCCCTCAACAGATATGATTGTTTCTTACTTATCATTTTAAAGAAAATACAGCTGGCCAGTTCTGCCATTCACACAGTAATGTTCTAATCGTGAAGGTAACAGTTGAATCTTAACTGACAATCTGTTCTGACTGACACCATCAAACAACCCTGTAGGAAACAAAAGAAGTTGAGTTCTTTTTTCTCACACACTGATGATACACCCCTGTGCAGAAACAAATACAGGCTTGTCTGGATATGACCATTGTAGATCATTGGAGCCTACAGTACAGATTCTGAGGCTGAATTATGTAAATACAGTAAAAGGACCAGATGCTGGAATCCTGTACAATATATTTTATCCTCTATAATGACCATGTACTGTAGGGTAGTGAATCATCTCATAACTGTAAACATCGGCTATAGGCCATTTCTCACATTCACTTCAACATGTTGGAAGTTGTTGTGTAAGACAACAATACGTGCAGGCCACCCAGCAGTAAATGTAGCCTACACGTTTACCTTCTCCCGCGATCTTCCCCTGTGTGGAAAAAGACTGCTTTATATGTCTGCACTTTAAAGGGATACTTCAGGATTTGGGCAATTATGCCCTTTTTCTATGTCCCCAGTCAGATCAACTAGTGGATACCATTTGTATGTCTCTGTCCAGTATGAAGGAAGTTAGAGGTAGTGTCGAGCCAATGCTAACTAGCGTTAGCGCAATGAATGGAAGTCTATGGGTATCTGCTAGCACGCTAACGCTAGTTAGCAATTGCACTAGCGCTAGTTAGCAACTTCATTCAAACTGCATGCAGACATAAAAATGGTATCCACGAGTTCATTTGACTCTGGGAAAGTAGATAAAAGGTCCTCATTGCCTAAATCCCGAAGCATCTCTTTAACACTATGTGTAAAAAGAAAAAAAAGAAAGAAAGAAATCACCCTCCCCCTACTGCACCTCTCTCCCTCAGTTTTGCTTCCCAGTTCCTCCCTCATAAAATGTCTCAATTTAACTACTTGGCTATATCTAGGCTGACTACAATACAGTATGTAGTAAGGTCAACATTTCAACTAATTTTCAGCTTTGACCTGTTGCAAGTACCATATGATGACCATGACACCATAACATCACAGTGACGCAATAACATGTTCACTCTCTCGATATGATTTCATATGAATCTAGCTGCCAGTGCCTTGACTATATCAAAACATTAGGGCTGATGATATCAGTGTCGCAATAGTTTTTCCATGGCAAAAATGAAAACACAAAGCAGACCAAACTCCTTGGTCCTTTAAAAACCTGCTGTATGTAAAATATGGTGTGCTATAGCTTGGAATATAAATAAATGTGACTGAATGACAACATAATGATGTTTGTTTCCAACATTAGGGCTGTTTTCCTAAAGATGTTAAATCTGCTTAATGTTTTGTTTCCTTGCCATGACAGTCACGAGTATCGCAATACTGGTATTGTCCCAACCCTACAACACATATGGGGAAACTGTACGTCTTGATTCTACTCCTTTCTGGATTTTCTATAATAACAATACCCAATGTTTTTTAAGTGACGTAAACCGCTACGTTAATTGAAAGCATATGCACTCTTTTATGAGGAAACTTTAGGATACACATTCAACATGTTTAGGCCACGTACTGTATTCAGGCATCCCAGTTTAAAAACTTTTCCTTGCACATCATATCCCAAGAGTTTGTATACTTTTTAATTCCCCATAGGCTATCGGTAATTCTTGGGTATTCGAGTAGCCTACATTTCTCTCCCTTCCGCCATTCTGTCAGTCCTAAACATGTCAGGGAGGTCTAGCTAACCCAGTTATGACCAGGAGAAAAACAACTGCCTGTGGGGACAAAGGGAGCAGCAGACACTGCCAGCGGCAAGGCACAACATCTACCCACTACTCCTGCACTCTCTGAGGCCAGGACACAACCAGCCATGTGTCCCACTGCATGAGGGGCTTCACTCCAACAAGAGGATATGTATAGGCTATTTGCATTTCCACCGCTCTCAGCCCGGGGAGAGGTATAATCATTGAAAGCCTTTCCTTGTGCAAATATCACATTATAGACTAGTTAGGCTACAAGCACTTGATGGGTGCAGCAGCTCGCCTACCTTTAGATTACAGTTACAAACTGTAGTATGTATGAGGTAAACATGATACCCTGAAGGACTGAGGTCATGAGTAAAGACACAGACACACCTCAGGCTACGTAGGACTGCTGTAACATTCACTACAGTCGCAGAAAGTGAGGTTGGCGAGAGCAAACTTATTGATCATCTTTTCTATTATGTGACATGTTGTGGCATTTGGTTTTACTTACTGAAATGGTTCAAAATGAGTTATGCCAGTATACTTCAGGGGGGAGGACATGATTGGTACATTCTGTGCCCATTAATACAAACCACATTGGGGTGAAAAAAGCTTTGTATAGTTCAGAAAATATACAGAAAAAAAATATCAACGCAACATGTAAAGTGTTGAGGCCATGTTTCATGAGCTGAAATAAAAGATCCCAGAAATTTTCCATCTGCACAAATTTGTTTACATCCCTGTTAGTGAGCATTTGTCCTTTGCCAAGATAATCCATCCACTTGACAGGTGTGGCATATCAAGAAGCTGATTAAACAGCATGATCATTACACAGGTGCACCTTGTGCTGGGGACAATAAAAGGACACAAAAATGTGCAGTTGTCACACAACACCACAGATGTCTCAAGTTTTGAGGGAGCGTGCAATTGGCATGCTGACTGCAGGAATGTCCACCAGAGCTGTTGTCAGAGAATTGAATGTTCATTTCTCGACCATGTCGTTTTAGAGAATTTGGCAGTACGTCCAAACGGCCTCTCAACCACAGACCACGTGTAACAACGCCAGCCCAGGACCTCCACATCCAGCTTCTTCACCTGCGGGATCATCTGAGGCCTGCCACCCAGACAGCTGATGAAACTGTGGGTTTGCACAACCGAAGACTTTCTGCACAAACTGTCAGAAACCGTCTCAGGGAAGCTCATCTGCGTGCTCGTCTTCCTCACCAGGGTCTTGACCTGACTGCAGTTCGGCGTCGTAACCAACTTCAGTTGGCAAATGCTCACCTTCGATGGCCACTGGCACACTGGAGAAGTGTGCTCTTCAAGGATGAATCCTGTTGTTTCAACTCTACCGGGCGAGCGGTTTGCTAATGTCAACGTTGTGAACAGAGTGCCCCATGGTGGCGGTGGGGTTATGGCATGGTCAGGCATAAACTACGGACAACAAACACAAGTGCATTTTATCGATGGCAATTTTAATGCACAAAGATACTGTGACGAGATCCTGAGGCCAATTGTCGTGCCATTCACCTGCCGCCATCACCTCATGTTTCAGCATGATAATGAATGGCTCCATGTCGCAAGGATCGGTACACAATTCCTGGAAGCTGAAAATGTCCTAGTTCTTCCATGGCCTGCATACTCACCAGACGTCACCCACTGCACGTTTGGGACACTCTGGATCGAGGTGTACAACAGCGTGTTCCAGTTCTCACCAATATCCAGCAACTTCGCACAGCCATTGTAGAGGAGTAGGACAACATTTCACAGGCCACAATCAACAGCCTGATCAACTCTATGCAAAGGAGATGTGTCGCGCTGCATGAGGCAGATGATGGTCACACCAGATACTGACTGGTTTTTTGATCCACGCCCCTACCTTTTTAAAAAAGGTATCTGTGACCAACAGATACATATCTGTATTCCCAGTCATGTGAAATCCATAGATTAGGACCTAATTCATTTATTTCAATTAACTGATTTCATTATATGAACTGTAACTCATTAAAATCTTGCATGTTGCGTTTATATTTTGCTCAGTGTATGTACTTCATAGTACCAGTTGTTGCTACAGACTTGTACACTGCTTTTACACTGAGTGTCAGATCTGACAAGTAGAAATGGACACCCAGCGAATAGAGTGATGACTTCCTGTGCATGCCGCGCTACTGATTCCCCACTTAATGTGTAAGCCAGAGAATGGATAATCTAAACACACACAACATCTGGGGTAGAAAGTCCACAGACTGAGGGATGGGGAAAGTGACTCATATAGAGGAATCTGAGTGGGGATGAAGAGCAGCCAAAATGAGTGCAGGAGCTAATAGAATCAGTATCTAAGCCAATGGTCTTAGCCCATAAAAATGTGTTTGCTTTACATCAACAGGTGGGGAAATGGTGTGTTCAGTTCTTCCTAGCCACAAAACTGCTACTTTGGCAAAACATGGATGGTGGCTGTGCTTTCATAGGCCTAAAATATGTTGGGGAGGAATAATTATCTTTGGAAAAGTAGGCCTACAGCTGGAAAAAAAAAAAATATATATATATAAAATACATAACCGCCACAGAGCGTCTTGAAAGTAATGAGTAAATCTCCTGCTGAAAAAGATACAGCTTTATTTCATAGAAATCTTCAAAAAAGAGAAATGTAGTCACATTTTAGTTATGCAGTGAAGCAGACACACAAGGCCACATACGTGCCGGCTCCTACTAGCTAGATAATGAGGGAGGAGAGCACAACACTGACGCCTGAAAATACCATCTATTTTAACAGAGAATGGTGTGATTGTAATCCTATTGGGTGAGAGACGGCGTGATAGTGAGTCAGCTGCCTCCTTAACAATGGGCCAACCGCTGCCAGGCTTTCTCCTTCTACACAACATTATAGAAAAACATCTCATAACTGTCTGACACCTGAATGAATCAAACACTGATCATGCAGCAGCCTCACACTGGCCCCACTGACCCTGAAGGGAAAAGGCTGTGAAGGACTTTGTAACACTGCTGGCAAAATAGACATTACACACCTATACATTTGGATCATGAAGTATGTACTCTGCTAATAGGCCTATGTGAGATTAGGCATAAAAATGCTATCCACGTGTTCATCTGACTCTGGGGA